TATATATAGTGGAACACTACTCAGCCATGAAAAAAAATAAAATTATGTCATTTGCAGCAACGTGGATGGATGTAGAGATGATCATACTAAGTGAAGTCAGTCAGACAAATACCATATGATATCATTTGTATGTGGAATCTAAAATAGGACACCAATGAACTTATTTACAAAACATAAACAGACTCACAGACATAGAAAACAAACTTAGGGCCACCAAAAAGGAAAGAGGTAGGGGAGGGATAAATTAGGAGTTTGAGATGATCAGATACAGACTACTATACATAAAATAGATAAACAACAAGGCTGCACTATATAACACAGGGAACTCTGTTCAATTTCTTGTAAAGGGCAGTAATGAAAAAGCATATGTATAACTGAATCACTACGCAGTATACCAGAAACAACACAATGTTGTAAATCTTGAAGTATGTAACTATACTTCAAGAAAGAGAGAGAGAAAGAAAGAGATACTCCTGAAGACCAGGAGTGGAGTAAAGGTCAGGGTATTTGAACTATGCATCACTTAGGAGGAGAGCAAAGTTTGGAGCCTTTGCAGCAGTTGCATTGGATTTAGATTTATCCTGTCCCCAAATAAGGGCACACATGGTCACAGAGGTACAAGAAAGAAGAGTCAGTCCATCAACACTCCACTTTATCTGTGAAATCAAACATTTAAAGTGAATCCAAAGGGCTATAACCCTATTTTCACATTTCTTCATTAAAAAGAAAATCACTGGAACCTCAAAAGTGGAAACTCTATAAGTCTCTCTTGACCTGGAAAGGCCAAACAGTAGCATCAAAACACTGCCTTTCAAGAAGTCCCTGTGACAGAATTGCCCCTGTTGCAAAAAGAGCTGCTGAAATTGCAACATATCCTGCTGTAGACTGGAAAGGCCCAATTCCTCCCCAAGTCTGTCATAGGTGCCTGAGTTTTAGCTAAGAGGAGTTTCCTGGCCAGTCAAGATGGTGTCAGAGATCCCAGGAACGCAACTAACCCTGCGTGGTATTGCACAGTTTCATCATCTCTGTTTCAGCAGTGGGAAGTTGACTTCCAGAATCTTGTATAAGTCCTGGCCCCAGAGACACCCCAGTCAATACCTTCTGGTCCAAACTAAAAATTTCACACATCAGACATTTGCACCATCAAGGTGCATTTGGGTTCATTCATTTTTTTTTCAGGGAATACATTAGGTTTGGGTGTTATTTTCTCAGCAGCATCCAGAGAACTGACGTTGTCAGCTGTTAAACTCAGAACACTGACTACTCTGTAAAATATAAAGCACGTGGACCCATCGGACATTAAAATAAATTCTACCAACTACAACTCATGGAAGCCTTGATCCCAGGTTGCTCATATACAGAGCTGTTTTGTTCAGCCAGGCATGAACATGTTGTAACTGACCTATGGGAATGGTCAGCATGGCCCATTTTGAGCCTCACTGGTGACAACGTGACATCTGTGGTTAGAGATGAACAGTGAAATAACAAAGTATTATCATGCAGGAGACAATATAGCAAAATGGTTAATAGAGTGAGTTTGAACCCTGGCTCTGGACAAGTCTTTAAGCCACTAATCCTGGGTGTAAGTGGCAATGATGAATTCTATACTGAAGGGGTGCTGCAGAGATTTTAGGAAATAATGGATATAAAGCAAACTCTGTCGGGCACAGATTAATCACCGTTGAAGGGTAACTGTATTACCAACAAAACATTTGTAAGCCAAACACGTCATGAGAAAGAAAGTTTAAACCAGGATACGTAAATGATGCCAACTAAGTGATAGAAATACCACCATTTTGCAACCACCATTGTAGCAACTGATTTAGGAAAGGATCATCAATGAATGAAACCATGGGAGGAAAGACTGTGAGAGAACAGGGCATTTCCACACACCCAGGTTACTTATTACACAGAAAAAAATGACCTTTTACAATGGAGAGATCTCAAAGATGCGTGGATGTACCCTCAGGCCAATAATGAGGAAACAATCACACAAGTCTAAGCTGAGGGACATTCTGCTTGGAACAGACTTTTCAAAAACATTAATGTCTTGAAAGAATTTTAAAAGGTGAGGGGGATGTGAAAGTGTTCTAGATAAAAAGAGACTACAGAGACATGACAACCGAAAGTAATGCATGATCTCTGATTGGATCCTGGATTGGGGATTTAAAAAAAAGCTATCAAAGACATTATCAGGACAATTTGCAGAATTTGATTATGGACTGACTATATTATAAAATAATATTCTTGTATCCTTATTATGTAGGGTATCTAAGGTATTTGGAGTGATATCTGATATGTTTTCAATTTATTTCCAAATTCTTCAGAAAAAACAAGTGTGTCCACGTGTACATGCATGTGAGAGAGAGAAAGAGAATCACTAAACATCATACAATATAAATGGTTGGCAAACCAAGGTAAAGGGTATATAAGTGTTCATTGCACTCTGCTCTTATCTTGGCTGTGGGTTTGAAACTTTTCAAAACAAAAAGTTGAGGGTCAAAATCAACATAGCAGAAAGACAGGGCAGTTAATGGAGAAAGAAGTCAGCTCCCCCCATACAACATCCATTAGCTTCGGAGCCACCACTGGGGCCCCACACTAAGCTGTGAGCTCCGAAGAACGCCTATGCCTTTGGCACCCCTGTTTCTCCAGCATCCTGGCTGGAGTGTCCAGAATATGTGTTCAGTAAATGTGCATGGATGAGCGCTCTCCCTCCAGAGTCTGCTCCCAGTAAGCTGTGGCAGAGTTGGCGCTGGGACAAACAAATCAGGATGGTGGTCCTAGGCATGGCATTCTGAGGTTTTCGTGTTGCTGTGAGTACCAGACTGGAGCTACATGAACAAGGGCGACACCAGGGATGTCTCCTGACAGTGTCCTTCTGGCTTCACCTGCCTTTTTGGGCAGGGAAGGGCAAAGCTTGCAGGGCTGTATTTGCTGCTCCCCATTCCCCTGTCATTGACTCCAGAGGGTCAATAAAATTCCAAGAGTCTGGAGGAGAACAGTTGGCCAGAGGGGCTGACCCTCATCATGGTCCTCTCCCTGGGACCAGGGGCTCTGTTCCTCCCGGTACATCCCTGTATCCTGGGAGGAGTGAGGGAATCATATGATTGTCTGCCCAAAGATCAAGAATCTGGATTCCAATTCCAGACAAAGAAGTCTGCAGTCCAGCCTGGGTCACTGAGAGCTGGAGTGCTGGACGACCACATGTCTGGCAAGGAATTGAGCCCTCCCAGGTGGAAAACTCTGAATCTGTGAAAAAGAGCATAAGCCAGCAATGATATACTCACAAACTGAGTCTCAGTTCCTATGAAAACACAGAACATTTCCTGTGCCTTTTCCGTTATTTCACAAGCTGCCTCGTCTCACTCGCCCTCTGGGCTCCAGGACAAAGAGCTTTTGCTCCCAAAGTGCTTTTGCTCCCCTCAGAAGCCAGACAGATGTCTCCAGCCTCCCTTGGTCAGCACGATGGCCAAGACCCGTAGTGACCATCTGCTGTACTCCCTGGAAGAGCTGGTGCCCTATGACTTTGAGAAGTTCAAGTTCAAGCTGCAGAACACCAGCTTGGAGAGGGAACACTCCCGGATCCCCCGGGGCCAACTCCAGACAGCCAAGCCAGTGAAGCTGGCCACTCTGCTGGTCACCCACTATGGGGAAGAGTATGCCGTGCGACTGACCCTGCAGGTCCTGAGAGCCATCAACCAGCATCTCCTGGCAGAGGAGCTCCACAGGGCCGTTGTCCCAGGTAAGCGACCTCATGCCCCTCCTCTCCCAGTGTGACCACTCGCTGTTCATGGAGTGGGGTGGAAGGTGCAAGGGGGAACGTATGTTCGACCAGTGCATCCTGACTTGGAGGTGAGGAGTTCCAGGTCCGCCACAATCCTAGTGACTTAAGCCAAGCAAGTCTTTTCCCCTTCTCTGGTCTTTGGAGCTGGGGTAAAACTAAGGCTCCCAATGGCTTAAAAAAAAAAACCCAAAAGGCTGAGGTTCTCACTATGGGGTAGGATCAAGAGAGGCAGGAGCTGGGTGACTGTTGGCAAAGAATTCCTCACTTCGTTTGTGATTAACACTTACCTACAGACGAGGAACTTCAGGTGAGCAAGAAGCGCTTGCCCACCACTCATATTAACAGGGCTGATGGGTAATCTCATTGTTATCCACCTGACTTCAGTTTTGATTCCTTCTTTAGCACCAGTTACAAGTGTTCTTTAAATTTTTTTGAGGGAAGGAGGTAATTAGGTGTATTTATTTATTACTATTTTTTTAATGGAGGTTCTGGGGATTGAATCCAGGACCTCATGCATGCTAAGCATGCGCTCTACCACTGAGCTATACCCTCCCCCACAAAGGTATTTTAAAATTCTTAAAAGGACTTTCTACTTTCTTTTCTTTTCCTTCCTTCTTTTCCTCTTTTTCTTTCTTTCTCTCCATCCTGTCTCTCCCTCCTCCTTGTTTTCTTTCCTTGTTTCCTTCCTGATCTTCTTCTGCTGCCCTTTTGCTGTTACTTTCTGACTTTACTACATTGTGATCAAAGAATGTGGCCTATGTGATCTCTGCTTTTAAAGACTTTCGGGGGAGCTTTGTGGGGGACTAATATGTGATCAGTTTAAAAAACTATTCTTTGATGTTTGAATTTCTCTTCTATTTCTAGACTTTAAGAATACATTAGGGGGGGAAATGAATACATTAGGAATGCTTTCCATGTTTTTCTATAAGGCAGAAGAGTTTACACACCATAAAAAGTCTCTGCCCTTTGGAAGAGTGATAAAGTTAAACCGTAATCTGAGTCTGGTGTAATCTGATGAGTAGAATTTTTAAATTAATTTTTGGTATTTTAAAATCTGGCTATTAGCATCTTCAGGGTTTCTCACCAGTTCTTGAGCCAGTTTTGTAACTTCTGTCTTCCTAGAAAGCCAACAGCAAAGTGTTTAAAGCAACTTTAAAGTAATTTTAATAAGGGCTTTTTCACACCAAAAATTAAGGTGTTAATTATAGGTTATCTTCATTTCTTTATTAGAGTAGTGGTTTTCAAAGTTTATCCCAGGAAGATATCTCAGGGATTCTTTAGAATGCTAACAAATATTTGATTCAAATTTTATTAATTTTTTAACTTAATGAAAGTAGCATTAATATTAAAATGTATCATATACCAAATTTTTAAATATTTGAGGCCATCAGTGTGATAGTTCATGTTATACTAAAACTCCTTTTTATGTAGGCCTTGGAATTCAGTCTTTCCTGTCATTTCTGTTTAGTTAAACAGTATCCTGAAATTTCCAGGCAAGTTTTTTTTAATCACCATTACACTTATCTGCGTGAGTTAGGGTTTTCTTCATCTCATGAAACCAAAGAAAAAAACAGCCGAAAGAAATTATTTCCTGAAGTTTTAACTGTCCTTCATAACCCCTGATTTCAAATTTTTCTGCTGATCTTTATTGGTTGAGTTTTGTACACCTATAATCACACACAAATGTATACCAGTAAACTAGAGTTTTCACTCATTTTACATATTAAGAATTCCGTGTAAGACCTTATATTGGTAACAAGTTCTCCTGCCAGAAAAGTTTGAAAGGTGCCATTTCAGAAATAAGATAGCAAATAATGAGTGTGTTCTTATTTAATGGTAATGACCACTGTTGTCTAGACTGTCCTGAACTTCTCTAATTTCTGAGAGGATTCTCCCCTCTCTTGCCCTAAACCTTGATCCTGAGCACCGGACATTTTCATGCCTTCTCGTTTCACTGTCTTTTCAGAGTATCAGATGCAAGAAAGTGGCACAGACAACTCAGCCATGCCCTATTCCTCTACGGAGATTAAGCCCAAGAGCCTGAAGATACCAGATGGCCTGGAAGGGGACAAGCAGCGACAAAGTGGTGATATGGCTGGCTGCCCACCATCCATCCAGCCCGAGGCTGGTAGAGGGCCCCAGAAGAAGCCTCAGGGAAAACGGAGAGACCTGAAAGGCACTGAGGTCCTGGATGTGCAGAGCAAGCCAGGGGCCAGGAACATGACTCCGTCTTCCAAGAGAGGCCCATTCCCCAGCAAGCCTCAGGGGGAGAAGGGGAGCGATTCCAGCGTCAGGCTACGCAGGAATGCCAGCTCTGCGGGAAGGCTCCAGGGATTCTCCAGTGGGTCATTGGCTGGGTCCCTGGGAAGGAGAGAATTGAAAACATCTGAGGCAAATTCACCTTCAGGAAAGAAGCGACCCAAAAGTCTTGAATTTGCCATTTCTCCAGTAGAGACAGAATCCCTCAATCCAGAAATTCTTCTGCTTCAAGAGAAAATGAGAAGTGAGAATCCAGGCTCAGCAGCCACTCCCCGTGAAGTGGCCATTCTGACTGTAGGGGGTATTGGGGCTCCAGAGAGAGGATCCAAGAATCCACATCCCATGACCCTGGAAGGAGGAGCACTCAGGAATACACTTTCCAATGTATCATTGGCTGGAAAGAAGACCTGGGAGCACCCAGAATCCACAGTATCTTCAGAGCAGAATGGAATTGAGGCTTCAGAGACCTCTAAGACCTTGGAGGAGGTGGTAGGCGGTGTGCTCCAAGAGCCTTCAGATCCAGAAGTCTATCCGTCTTCAGGTAAGAGGATCTCAGAATCTAGAAGACCTGGCTTCCTTAGGAATGATGACCTATGCAGGTTTCCCCCATAAATCTGCTTTTATCCCCACTGTATTCATTTCATTGGATGTCTGGGTGCCCCTTGAGGTCCTCAACCCTTTGAGAATCTGATGTAGGCCTTGTATCCTGAAAAAACAATGCATATATGCACATCTTCACAGAATGTTGCATACATTTCAGTGAGTTATATCTTAGATACTCTGAAGTCCTCCTTTGGAATTCCCAAGGGCTTCATGAAGCCCAGGTTGAGCATCTGGGAAAGGGTGGGTATCACCTTCTCACAATACCCCATGGCAGTATGTCATGGAGCTGAGATTCTGCTGTTTGCCTCTCTCTGGGCAGGGGTGGGGCAGGTGGGGAGCCATTGGCTAAAATCCTAGGTCTCTTTTACTAAAGAGGCAGAAATTAGGATGTGACAGGTTGACAGAAATGCCAAATAACATAAATGAAACAAGAAAGAAGTTTGTTTCTCTTTCCCACAAGTGACACACAGGTGGTCCAGGACAAATGTGGCACCCCGTGCACAGCCAGGAACCCAAGCTCCTGCGGTTTTTCTGCTCCAGAGAGTTTGCTCTCAAGGTCATGGTCTCTGATGGTAGCCTCCTCGTTCCAGGCAGCAGGATGGAGGGACAAAGGAGAATAGCCACTTAGGAAAGGTTTTCAGAAGTTTTTAGATGCTGCTCATGATGCCTCCATTTATCTTCTTGGCCAGAATGTACAGGCCGACCTCAGAGATATTGCGGGACCACCACAACAAAGTGAATATTGCAATAAACCAAGTTATGAACTTTTTGGTTTACACTATACTGTAATCTATATTAAGTGTGCAATAGCATTATATCCTAAAAAGGATACATACCTTAATTTAAAAATACTTTATTGCTAAAACATGTTAACCATCATCTGACAACACAGGGTTGCCTTCAACCTTGTAAAGTCACTTAATGCTTTCTGAACCTGGATATGAACAGTGGCCCCTCTGTGCCTTCATTTAACACTTTACCCAAACACTTACCACATACCAGGGATTCTGCTACAGGCTGAGGTTCCAGCCATGAGCAAGTTATCATCCCCTGGGAGCTCTACTCAAGCTATGGGCGGTCTGGGTGGTTTTAAGTGACAAAGCAAACACCAGTCAGAATGTCCCGCTGTCTTTCTATCACCTGCTAGGTCAGCATTATGTGCAGGGGGAAGGCATAGGATTTATAGCCAAAGGCCTTTCTTTAGACCCAAGAATTCCAAGTCTCAGGACTATCATGAGATCTAGCCCTTAGTTCTCAGTCCCAGTGGCTCCTCTGCTGCCTCACTGGAGGGAAGTCAGGGGAGGACAAGTTAGGAAGAGGCCTCAGTCTGAGAACTCACGTGTCCCAGGCATGGCTTCTCTCTCTCTAATGTGTTTTGTAGCGTTCCTTGGTAACAACTGGAGTTTGTCACTCAGATTTTTTTCCATTGCTATATCCCCAGGAAGGCTGCAGAACAAGGCTGTGTGTCCCCTTTGCCGCGCCCAGGAAGGAGACCCTGTTGGTGGCAGCTGTGTGCACAACTCCTGCAACTGCTCTATTGCTTCTGGGGATCCTGAGCCCTCATGCGGCCGCTCACCCAGCTGCCCTCGGTGCCAGGACTTGCACCCAGGGAAGAGTTATGGAAGTTGCGAGCAGCAGGAGGGCCTGCAGATGGTCGGCCTGAGTCCCAAGTCCCTGCCACAGTGTAAGCGTCACATGAAGCAAGTGCAGTTGCTCTTCTGCGAGGACCACGGGGAACCTATCTGCCTCATCTGCAGGCTGAGTCAGGAGCACCAAGGACACCGGGTACGCCCCATTGAGGAGGCTGCCCTGGAATACAAGGTAGGGCTTCCTGCATTGGGGCCCTTCTCTGCTGGGCACTTGAACACACCGGGGCCTGCTTCATTTTCCCAACAACCCTGGGAGGTTGGTGCATTAGCCAGTGTTCTTGGGTTGTAAATGGCAAACACAATACAAACGAAGCCAGCAAAGAGGGATTTACTGGTTCATGTAGCTTGGAGGTCTAGGGGAATCTGACTTCAGGTATGGCTGAATCCGGGTACTCATAGAGGTCGTTAGAAATCTCACTGCCTCCTGGTTTTGCTTCCCTTGGTGTGATAGATACATCCTTCCTCTTTCCAGGGACCCCTCCCTATGCTTTTGGCTGCAGCGCCCTCAGCTTTATTCTCTGAAGCAAATTTTCCCCTTTAGAGTTGACACCAACTAAAGATAGCAGGGGCCAAGTTGAAACTTCAATGAGTGTTCTTTTTTCCAGGAGCAAATTCAGAAGCAGCTGGAGCATCTGAAGGATTTAAGAAAATCTGGGGAGGAGCAGAGATCCCAGGGAGATAAGAAGACAGAGAACTTCCTGGTAAGGCTAGGGGTGTTCTGCAGCCAGACCTTGCCTGGGTTCACCCCTGCAGGAGGGAGAGAGCTGAAAGTGATCAGTACTGAGATTCTATACTGGTTCATAGGGAAGCAGAGCTGGTCATGTATTTAGAATCATCTGTTCTTGTGGGGCAGGGAGATAACAGGTGTCCTGGGACAAGCTTGTTCCTGGAGAGGGAGACCACCCCCAGCAAGAGGGGGCATCTCCAAGGACCCTATCACACTTTCTTACACTCACCACAAAATGATTTAGAGAAACTAATGCCAACAGCTGTGTTTGAGGAATGGGATTGAGTAAAGAGGAAGAGAGACTCTTCAACTTTAAATACTTGTCTGTATTGTTTTTATAATTGTTTTGTTCATTGTCTTCTTTTTTACAAAAACCATATTGATGTTTAAAATTCAGATGGTTAAAGTAGACATTTTCTTTAAACTCTGGTTTTGCAAAACTACATTTCAATAAGTACACCTTAGCAGCCTTCCTGTTAAGCTGTTGTCCAGACTCTTGGATGCGTTAAGTTGCTTCTGTTTTCCCTGCATGGGAAGGAGCCTACCCCGCAGAGCCTGGATTTGTCTACTGCATTTCTGTTGGTTGGATCTCTTCTCCCTCTCTGAGTTCCAAACTTCTATGGGGACCTACCACACTGCAATGGGAAACAGGCAAAGATAACAAAGGGCAGATGGGAGGGGGTGGCATTGGTCCAAGTGTCCGACTTTGGGAAACTCCTGAATTGTAGTAAAATAAAAACCCTTTCCAATAATCCCAGGTGGCTTAGAGCAGAGGTCAGGGATGCTCCCCAAGGAGGTGGAAGGCAGGAGCCTGGGCTGCTTAGGGAAACCCAGGGAGACACGAGGGTCCAGCCTTCCCTTAAGATACTCACAGTGATGTTGGCTCCTGTGAAAAGGAGATGCTGTTTTCAGGAATTCTCTTTCTCCTCCTCCTTTTTTCAATAATCAAAAAAAATTAAATCATAGGCAAGGGGTAGAGAAAGCTCTTCTTTATAGCATAATGACAGCTAAAACAAGTATAGAAGAATAATTGAATTAGAAAATTTCCACTATGCAACTGACACTGTCAGGTTCAACAGATGCTAAATTTTTAGAGAAAGACTTTAGAGAACAGGATATTTACAAGTTTCATTCCCCCAAATTACTTAGTAATTGCAAAGTAAATACTGTATCTTTACAGCGGCGATACCTGGTAGACCCCTCCTTAACCAAGTGATCAGTCCTAGTACCACAATAATGGTGACAGCAAACTGGACAGTCTTTACCTCCCAATGGAATGTGCTAAAAAGTCCACAGCATTAGGTATATGGTATTCTTGCCCAAAATATTTATCCTGAATTTAATCATGAGCAAAATTATCAGACACTTTTAGAATATAAGCTATTGAACAAGACAACTGACAAGCCCTCTTTAAAAAAAAAAAGTCAATGTTACTGCCGTCAAACACAAAAGGTGGGGAGACATTTCTGGTTCAAAAGAACTAAAAACTAAGTCCTGTCCATTTAAGCCAAAAATGAGAAGATTTCTTATGTCCAGTCTTAATGGATCTGAAGGGCCCTCTCCCTCCTTGAAGGAAGGAAAGGTGCCCTAGAGCCACTTAAAATGTCCCGAGAAGCTTTTCAGTGACAATGAGAAAGAGGGCAACAGAAGAGGTAATGGCTGATGTGCAGGAGTAGTGAAAGTCAAGTTCACCTGCATTTAAAGAAGTGGACTGACTGCCCCTAGTCAGGGCCATATTGAGACTCCGTGGTGGAGTGGAGAGAAGTCTCCCTCCTGGAGACTGTGTGGTCATAACCTTGTCCATTTACAACCCCAGACATATGCCATCCTCACGCTGGCTTTCAAGGGGAGAAGGTGACACCAAGTATCTTAGTTTCCGTGGCTGCCCAAATTAAGTACCATAAAATGGGTGGCTTAAACCACAGAAATCGAGGCAAGCGCTTGGCAGAGCTGGCTCCTTCTGAGGGCTGCGAGGGAAGGATGTTCCGGGCCTCTCTCTTCAGCTTGTAGGAATCTACCTTTTCCCTGTGTCTCTTCACGTGGCATTCTCCCCGTGTGTGTATCTGTGTCCAGATTTCGCCACTCCACTATGACTTCATCTTAACTCATTACATCTGCAACAATCCGATTTCCAAATAAGATCATATTCTCGGGTACTGGGGTTAGGACTCTAACATATAAATTTTGGAGGGGATACAGTTCAACCCATAATACCAGGTTTAGGGCATTTTCTAAAAGCCAACCTATTTTAGAAGGTTTTGGCCTATTTGGCCTCCTCCTCTGGAATTCAGGCCTCCAAGAAGCTGAGGAAGTCTGCCTCTCATCCACCTCCAGAAGGAAGACTTCTGGGGGGCTCTCCCTGGGCATACACATCCACTTCACCACATAGACCTTATACCTCCCTGACTTCTGTTCCCCAGAAACAAACTGAAACCCAGAAGCAGAGAGTCCAGAACCAGTTGGAACAGTTGTGCCAGTTTTTAGAGCAGCAGGAGCAGCTCTTTGTGGCCTGGCTGGAGGAGCTGGGACAGACCATTGGCCAGGTCAGGGAGACATACGGCACCCGAGTATCCAGAGACATCGCCCTTCTTGATGAGCTGATTGGGGAGCTGGAGGCCAAGCAGTGCCAGCCAGAATGGGAACTAATGAAGGTGAGTGTGGCTGGGCCTGGCCTTCCCCTGTCCGCCATGCCCAGTGAGATGACATGGGCTCCCAGCACTGCCATCAGCTCTGCCCAAGCCAGTGGGTGAGTCCCTTAGGGCTGGGGGTGGACTTGGTCTTGGTAACCCACAATGCCTCTTGTGCCCAGACCCCTTCAGTGAGCTCTCAGGAGCCCAGAGTGGTCCAGTATCTAGGGGATTCCCCTGGCATCTCCCAGGAGAGAGCAGCAGAGTTTGGGTACAGTTGTGTTGTAGGCCCCTGGCCGGGCTACCACCTCCGGAGATTAGGATTAGAACTGAGGAACCCCTTTTTGCTAACACTCTGGGGCTGGAGGAGACTGGTAATGGAGAAATTCTCTTTTCTCTCCTAGGACATCGGAGTCACCCTGCACAGGTACCAAGAGGCTCCCTGATGATTCCTTGAGTGTCCTGCAGGAAACACTGGGGGAGGCAGACCCAACCCCGGGTCTGTGACTCCTCCCTAGGCTCCCCCCATCTCCTGCAGCTTCCTAAGGCCTTTCTGGATTTGAGCAGGGAGAATGGGAACATGGGTTGAAGACTGGAAGGAGTGAACACTGCTTCCTAAGAGACTTCCCTAACAGACCGTGTCCTGTGCAATTCGCCTCATGAAAACTGTTCCAGCAAAAGTGCTTGTGGCCACAGGGAGGGAAGCACTTTCCAGAGTGGAGCTGCTAAGCCCAGCAGGCAGGGGAGGGGAGGGGAAGAGGCTGGATGTTACAATCACCCTGGAGACAAATTAAATCTGAATCTTCAGGAGTACGACCCAGAAATCAAATCTTTTTTTTTTTGAAATCAAATCTTTTTAAGTTTTTTTTCTGATGGTAAAATATACCTAATGTAAAATTTACCATCTTAACCATTTAAAAATGTACACAGTTCAGTGGCTTTAAGCACATTCACACTATTGTGCAACCATCACCACCATCCATCTCCAGACTTTTTCATTTTCCCAAATGGAATCTCCATACCATTAACCAACTAACTCCCCATTCTCCATTCCCACAGCCCCTGGCAACCACCATTCTATTTTCTGTCTTTACGAATTTGACTACTCTAACTACTCCATATAAGTGGAATCATACAATATTTGTGCTTTTGTGTCTGACTTATTTCACTTAGCATAACAGCTTCAAGGTTCATCCATGTTGTAGAATGTGTCAGAATTCCATTCTCTTTTAAGGCTGAATAATATTCCATCACATGTATATAACACATTTTGTTTATCCATTCATCCATCAGTGGATACTTGGGTTGCTTCCACCCTTTGGCTACTGTGAATAATGCTGCTATAAATACTAGTGTAAATATATTTGAGTCCTGCATTCAATTTCTGCATGTATATAATGAGATGTGGAAATCATATGGTAATTCTATGTTTAGTTTTTTGAGGAACTATAATACTGTTTCCCACAGTGCTGCACCATCTTACATTCCCACCAGCAGTGCACGGGGTTCTAATTTCTCCACATTCTTGCTAACACTTGTTATTTTTTATTTTTTTAATAGTAGCCATCGTAATGGCTGTGAAGTCGTATCTCATTGTGGGTTTTTTTCTCCTTTATTAGCATTTTTATTTCAATAGAAAGAAAAAGATTTGGGAAGTGTAATTAATTCAACATAGGTAATTCTGGGCTGAGCATTTCAATATCAGCACCATTTTAGGGCCATTATCAAAACTTGCTGTGGTTTTGATATAGTGGTTTCTAAACCCCCCCAAATGATGCCAATTCATAGCCAAAGTTGAGGACCAGTGTTTAGAACCAGAAGTCCAGGGAGAACGTTTTTTGCAAAGCCGAGGCTGGGCTGGGTGTGCCCTGTGGAGGCTACACCTCACTTCTAACCCATGAGAGCTTGGGCTGCTCCCATGCTCCAGCCCTCCCAGGCCAACTGTCTTTTGTTTCTAGGGCCAAGATGGTAACTGCCCCTGAGCTACGGACCACCCCTCTAGAGGTGAAAGAAAGGATCCACCTGCTCTACCAGAAATCAGAGTTTGTGGAGAAGAGCATGAAGCACTTCTTGGGTAGGTGGGCTTGGGGGAAGATGGGAGGCACCTGCTCACCTTCTCCCTGAGATCCATGTAGCCCAGAGCCCCCTGGTGTCCCTTCTCCATTTCCCACAGCCTTTCTGACTCTGCCTTCAGGGTCTTCAAGATCTATCCCTATCCAAGGAACCTAACTCAAACTCCTTTTCTCCTTTTAGAAACCCTGCGCTCAGAAATGGAAACATTCAGTGGTGAGTATGGTGCAGGTAGTACGTGCTGGCCAGGGATTAATGCAGTTTTCCCTTAGGCTATTGATTTTGGAGCATTAATTTGGAAAGAGAAAAATACCTGTAACAAAGGTGGGAGAAAAGCCATGACAGGCTCTATGCCAGAGTCATTGGCTGAGTCAACTCACCAGACCACAGAGTATCCAAGGCAAGCCTGGCTGCAGGGAGGAGGGGGGTTATATCCAAGCAGAAGAAGCAGGGTCCTGAGCAGGGAGGGAGGTCCTTGTCTTTTCTTGTTGTGGGGATCAGGGTAGATTTAGCCCCTTTGAATGGGAATGCTCTGGACTCTTTTTCCCATCTCCTTTTTCTCTGTAGTTCCAGAACTGATTGGTGTTCAGGCACCCTGAGGTGAGAGGCCTGGACCTGCCGGGTCCCTGTGCCATCCCCCAGCGTGTTACAGAAGAACAACCCTGTCCATGTTTCCCGGATATGGGGAGAATCCTGTGGGGATGTTGCCCATGGACCTCCAGCCAGGAATTCTAATTCTCTCTGCAGTTGATGTAATTCTGGAAGCGGAAACTGCCCACCCCAACCTCATCTTTCACCTTCTCTGATGACTTGAAGAGTGTGAGACTTGGAAAAAAGTGGGACCATCTGCCTGATAGTCCAGAAAGATTCGATAGCTGAATCATTGCCCTGGGCTCTCTGAGCTTCCTCTCTAGCCACCATTGCTGGGAAGTGAAGGTGGGAGACAAGACAAGGTGGGGTCCTGGGTGTCTGCAAGGCAGCCACCAGCAGGAAGGAGACTATGACTCTGTCACTAGAGAATGGTTACTGGGTAGAGATGATGATGAAGCAAAATGAGTACCAGGCATCCACTTTTCCCCTGAACCAGATGCGGGAAACTGAAGAAGCACATGGGTACCTTCCTGGACTACAAGGCTGGGGACACTTCCTTTTACAACGTGACACATTGTAAATCCCACATCTACACAGTCACTGGCTTCTTTTCCTCTGGGCCCTTTCAACCTATCTTTAGCCGCAGGACACATGATGGAGAGAAGAACTTGGATCCTCTGACCATCTGTCCAGTGAGCACCCAGGGGCCTCACTGAATGCTCAACACTCTGCATCTCTCTTCAGGCTCCTGGCCTTGTATCTTGAATCCATACACTCAAGAGTCACTATGGAACACCTACTGAGTTCTGGCTGCTGTGGGGAATATAATGAATAAGAGAATAGTCCCTGCCATGGATTTCAGAGAAGGAAGTACATGGATGTTGCTTTATACATCCTTGTATGAATTAGCACCCACAGATGCTCCTGAGTCAGAGAGCCCACTGTTGTTCGCCCTCAGGCCCCCCAAACAAGGATTTGTTCCCTCATTCTATCCTCCCTTGTCTTGAGTACTTCGGAAGCCTAAGGAAAAAACAAGTAGAGTGGACTGTCATCAATCATTTTTGTACTTGGATTAATGAACTGTGGTTCTTAAGAGTACTGGCTGAGCCTCATAAATAAATCCATTAGAAAATGTCATCATAATTGCAGTTGTCACTCAGTCGATCACTATGAGATCCCAGATCCCTACAGAAGATCACAAGGGAAATGGGGCTGCTGTCAGAAAAACATCTGACACATGTTCCAAGTGTCAGATTATTCTCCCCTGATCTGTATCTGCAAAGCTGTGGGCCTGTAGAATATGAGACGTTCTAGTTCACAGATGTTCCTCTATTATCCTCCACTTAAAGAGATGTAAAGAGAGGGATGTCAGAGAAAAGGCGAGTCAATGAAGATTCAACTCCAAACTCTCCTACCCCAACCTCTCTTCCCATCTCCACACTAGCGCCTACACTGGACTTGGGTTCTCCATGGTTGTCACCAGAGCACAAAACACTTGCTTTGCTTTTTTCATGGAGCTTTGTTCTACGTGCATAATGCACATGCTGGCACAGTTCACATATGCTATTTTTTCAGTGTTTCCTACAGTTGGTCATTTGCTGTTCCCAAGTCTCCCTCCTTCTCTTTCCATGAACAGCATGGTGTGTATTTCCATCAACTCCCCATACACATATTTCTTCTACTGTTTTTCCTAAAATGGTTCTAGAATGTGAACTATTTTGATAACACTTGCATTAGTTGACCATACAATCCTTTGGAAAAGATTTTTAAATGTTTCATGTTCGAAGCAATGTTTGTCATTTTAAATATTTTTGCTGATTTAATAGAGATTTAATGGAGTTTTATCTGTGTTTTTATTTATTTCATTACTTGCCAATGAGACTAAGAAATTTTCCATGTGAATTTCTTTTTTTTCTTCATTCTGTCACACACATAATCAAACAATCTGTAACAGTAATAGAAAAGAGTTTTATTTGAGCCAAACTGAGAACTATTGCCTAGGAGACACAGGTTTAAGAAGCACCTGAGATGTGTTCCACCAGACTACAAAATGGGGTGGCTTATATAGCAAAAGCCACAAAGCTAAGTTGTTTGTCAAGAATTATAATTGAAGCCGGCAAGAAGTAAAAGAGCTTTTAAGTAAGGATTGGTTGGGGTATGAAATGGTTGCGTAGTTATAAGGGGAGACCTTGAGACCATTAGGTTGCAGCTGGCAGCTACTACCAGACCTTGTTTTGAGAATGGTTTGCGGTATTCCTGAGTTTGATACAGTTCAGAAAATTCAAGTTCTCAACGATACAGGCACATGTCTGAAACTACATTACAATCACCACCTGGCTCTATTTTGGATGCCTGAACCACAGTCTTATATCTTGTCAGAACAAGGAACAAACATCAAACATGACAGGCATACATTCCTTCAAGGTTTCAAAAGAGATAGATTAGCATGTATACAGCTAGTTAGCATGACCTTGGTGTCTGGGAAGGGAACCTCATTTTCAAAGGAGTACTAGCATTGGTGTCATGGCGGGTGGGGAAGGAATGGCATTTGTCTCTATCTTCAAAGTGGATGCTCTAAACAATCTGGTAACTGTATTTTTTTTTCTTAATGGTTAAAGCACATGTACAGTGTATGTTTGACAGCCCATAACACAAGCTGTTCTATTCAGCATAAAGTTCAAGCCAAACCATGTATAAGACAGAATGACTTCCCCATACCTCAGTATGTGAAAATTGCTTCTATCAAGTCTACAATAATGGCACAGCTCCTTTACTTGTTATGTAGAATATAGATATTGAACTTAGTTGTTTGTAGTACTTCTTTTTTTTGTAGTACTTCTTCATAAATATTTTAGACACTAAATATTTGTTTCTGTAAGGTGAAGTTTTCCCTGTCTGGTGGGGTTTTTTAAAGATAAAATCCACATACCATAAAATTCACACTTTTAAACAATAAAGTGGTTTTTAGTATATCTACAGTGTGTACAAACATCACCACTAAGTCCAGAATATTTTCATCACCCCAAAATAAGCCCTGCACCCATTAGCAGTCAGTCACTTGCATTCTCCTTTGCCCCTGGCCCCTGACAACCACTAACCTACTTCCAATCTCTATGGGTTTGCCTGTTCTGGACATTTCACATAAGAATAATCATACAATATGTGCTCTTGTGTGACTGGCTTTTTTGGTTTAGCACATTTCAAAGTTCATCCATGTTTCAGCATGTATCAGAGCTTCATTCCTTTTTTATTGCTAAATAATCTGTCATATGGATACACTACATTTTGTTTCTCTGTTTATCAGTTGATAGACACCTAGGGTGTTTTCTACTTTTCAGCCATTATAAATAATGCTGCTACTCAAGTACAAGTTTTCATGCGGCCATGTTTTCATTTCTCTTGAGTTTCTACACAGGAACGGAATTGCTGGATCCTACTGTAATCCTATGTTAACATTCTGAAAGACTGCCAAATTCTTTCCAAAGTGACTATGCATCTTTTCAAATGTTAATGACCATATAGTTTTCTTCCTCTGTGGAATGACTTCACAGCCTTTGCTTCATAGCCTTTCTGCCAGTTGACAAAAGCTCCTTGTATGCTGGGACTATCTAATTCTTTATCTGGCATATCTACTACAATTACGTTCCAGTCAATTGCTTGTTTGACATTTGTCTTTTAAGTTTTTTTTTTAAAAAACAATCACATAAGTTTATATTTTACTTTAAGGCACCCCAGTTTCCTGTTTTGCCTCAACATTAAACTTTACGTTCTCTTTAGTGCTCTTTCACTGGTTATTAAATTCCATTTTGGGGGGTAAGTAGTTCAGGGATTGAAGCCTTACTTTTTTTTTACCAGAAGAACAGACAAGTTTTGCTAGCAGAAAGTTGAGCTGCTACCCTTTCATACAGGCCCACATACATTCAGATCAAATTTGGCACTTATTGTTCCACTTATTCACTCCTAGTTCATTGATTAAACGAGGATTTTTAGTAATTTTGATGTCTGGAAAGGCAAGTATAATTTTTTTAAAATTTTTGTTGCCACACAGTTTTAACATGCTTTAGACCATGGCTAAGTGAGTCGTCTATAGTTAGTGTTAACAAACGGGATTCATTTATATTTCCACTTTAGTCATCCTGCCTGAGGCTGGTGCTACCTAGAGGAATAAGGCAATCCCTACCCTTGTATTGTCCCAATCCTAATCAGTACCTCACTGGGGAATTAACCGAGTAGGGAACAATGCAGAAAGAAAAGACGCTGTTAGACGTCCGTGAGAGGCTGAAATCGAGGACTGAAACGGAAATGGTCTGAGAAAGAAAGCTAGAATTCTTTAGAAAATAAGACGGTCAATCCACACCGCAGTGTAAAAGCTGGCAAATAGGGGAAGGTGGGGTAGCCCTGCTATCCAGACGAAGGGACGGCTGTAGCAGGACCCCAGACCTGGCGGACGCCTTGACCCGCTACTGACTCGCCGCCTCCGCAGTTTTTTGGTCGACCTCGGCTGCTGCAGCGGAAATTGCGGTAGCCTCTTGCAGCCCTTCCGGCCCGTGAAATAGCCCGCTTCCGGTCGAGCCCTAGCCCTGCCCCCACCCCAATCTCTTCGCCTGGCGACCTCCCATTGGCTGTTTGCTTCCGAACTACATTTCCCAGCAACCAGAGGACTCAGACAGTCCGTACCTGGAATTGTGCCAGCCGGTCACGGAGGGCTGAAGCCAGCCTTCTGCCTTCCATCTCCCAAGTACAGCCGCAGGGAGAGCGGCTGCCGCCAACCTGGCCTCCCTGCGGTCCTGAAAGCTCCGCCTGCCGGCTCCGAGCCTCGCCTTCTCAAGCGCAGACAGTCCGCTCAAAACGAGGAGACCAAGTTTCCGCACCGGAAACGAGGCACCGGGCGTGACGTCACGGCTGCCGACGCGCTCCTCCTCCCAGAAGGCACCGCGTCCTTGCCGTCTTCCCCAACTGACGGCGGCGCACACCAATAGTCGCCCGCTGCCTGTGAGGACACTCCGAAGGGCGAGAGGTGGGCTTGGCCTCTCGCGCCTAGTTTCCCGGTCTCTCCCCGAGTCTGGGTCTCTGGTCTGTCCCCAACGAGCGCCCCGAGGCGACAGAACCTCAAGAGGTGAGGGACTCCGGGAGGGCGGGAACCAGGCTGAGCGGGCTCCGGGAAGCGGAGTGTAGTCCATTGCTGGAGGAGCCTGGCTGGATTGGTAGCTGGGGCACGCCCCAGGCGATGCCGCCAGCGGTGAAGGTGCCCCTTGGCCAGTGGGAGAGGCTCCAGAGTGGGCCTGGCCCAGTGGGCCCTACTGTGCTGTCCCCTGCCTCTCTTAAGGGGCTTTGAGGGCAGAAAGGACTCAGCAAGCCACATGTAGACACCTGATGCGGCCTTGCGTTTGCTCCTTGAGCCATCAACTGCCCCCTCCCCACCCCGAATGGCATCCCAGGGACCTGCGATTGAAGAGATGCAGTGAGGCCAGATTTAGTGGCCAAGCTGACTTCTTAAGCAGATGCTCTCCGTATTGGACCCCAGATTTCCTGTCTTCTAGACCATTGTTTTTTCTACCAGCATGGGTTAAGCCATTCTTCCCAGTGGAGTTCTCTCAGGAAGATGGCCCTTGATCTTCTGCCGGCTGCCTGTGCTCCCTTCTGTTTGGCCCTTGAGGTTTGGCCATCTTTTGGCTTTCAGTCTCAGGATATTCCTTTCGGGCCTTGCTAAGAGTATAAGATTGAGGCGTCTTCCTTTCAGTTTTGAGTTCCTTACCCCAGCTTGTCTGTCCCTTCGGATTTAGATCTTCTGTGGCCTCACTACCCAAGACACACACTGGAGTGCAGGCATGCCCAATCTGACCCATAATTTCTCTCATCTGCAGTGTGGCTGTCTGACAGGTTTCCTCCAGTTAGAGGTGGCTCTTGAAGCTCTGCAGAAACAAGGGTGGCTTGTGATTTCAAGACACGATGGCTGCCAAAGTGGTTCCTATGCCCCCAAAGCCAAAGCGATCCTTTATACTGAGGGTTCCTCCCAACTCCAAGCTGGGCCAGGACCTACTTCGAGATGCTACTAGTGGGCCCAAGACCATCCACCAGCTAGTTCTGGAGCACTTCCTCACCTTCTTGCCCAAGCCAAGCCTGGTCCAGCCCAGTCAGAAAGTCAAGGAGACCTTGGTTATTATGAAGGACGTGAGCCCAAACCTTCAGAATAGAGGTAAGAAGCACATACTGTTTCACTCAAAGAGAAGGGGATGCTACTGGGGACTGAGATAGGCTTCCATGTTAGTAATGAATTCAGGTTAGGATGATGGGTATTGGAAAAAGGAGTTGATTTTAATAAGTCAGCATGCCAAGGAGAGGGAGTATTTTTGTTTTCAAGCTGGAGCTTGAGTGGTTTGCTGAGTAAGTGTAAAGCCATAGAATGATCAGCGTGCATCTTTTCTGTAGTGCTAGTTTTACTCGAACATTTTTAGGGGTGGGGAGTATCTTTCTAGGATAAAGAAATGTGGATAAATTATTGAATTGACTTCAGCTCATGTGGAATTTTTGGAAGTTTTGTGCTTACTATGGACATCTTCAGCCTTTACCTTTCCCCAGCCTTCCTTTTAGTAGCAGTGGGAATTTTAAAAGTTGCTTAGGGGGGTCATCCTTTCATAATGAGGAGACCCCATTTAGGTTCAAGACCCTGTAGTTTGTGGCTTGACCTCTGATGGCTCATAAGAGCATAAAAAGCAATGAGTTACCTGCCAAAGGAATGAGGATAGCCTGGCTTCAAGGTGTGGGTAGAGTTGCCATATTAGAGTTACTGACTTTTCTATTTACTACAGCTTCCTCTTTCCCCAGTGCAACCTCGTCCCTTAGTGAAGCTTCTACCCAGAGAAGGAATCCAGCAGAAACAGGAGACAGTGTCTCTGTGTTTGAAAGCTGAGCCTGAGGTGGGTTCAGTTTTCCTGTTCACTGTTTGACTGCATTGTCTCCTCTGCTTTTATAGCCCTCCCATATATAAAAACACACTCTTGGGAGTCAGCAGGGAGATTGGACTCATTTTTCACTGCCTCCTTGGACATTTGTCTTCTGTTTTTCCTCTGGCTTCTCTCAGCCTGGCTATCCTGTCTGCATGGGACTTAGAAATCCCTTTTGCCATCTGTTCCCTGATCTTTGGGTCTCAGTCTTTCTTAACAGGAGGGCTGTCAAGGAACCTCTGTTACTAAGAGGAAGGGGGCCTTTGGTCTTTCAGGAGCTGGTAGTCTTTGAGGATTTGAATGTATTTCACTCCCAAGAAGAATGTGTTAGCCTGGATCCTGTTCAGCAGCCCACCTCAGAGATGGAAGAAGGCAATATTGGGGAGATGATGTTACTAGGTAAGAAATCAAATCCCTTGTGTGGTAAGGTTGAAGACTGGGAAAAGCATGTTCTGTTTCATGTCAGACATTTTTGAGGCACTGTTCACACCAGCTAAGTACATAATCACACACATGTTTAATTTTTGTTGTATTCCATGAAACAGAGCATTCTCCGGCTGTGAGAGGCCATTTTACCTGTATCTTGGGGGCAGCAAGGGTGGAGGGGACTTCTCTTGGTAAGCAAGACCTGAGACCTATGTACTAACATCAAACATTTAAACACGCAGAAATTGCAGGCATACTGTTTCCAGATCCATTTTCTGCATCCAGTAGTATTCTCTCAACAGATGCATTTTACATTTGTGTTTTCATTGGACGTATGACTAATTCTTTTATGTCTTTTTTTTAACATTTTTTATTGATTTATAATCATTTTACAATGTTGTGTGAAATTCCAGTGTTCAGCACAATTTTTCAGTCATTCATGGACATATACACACTCATTGTCACATTTTTTTCTCTGTGATTTATCATAATATTTTGTGTATATTTCCCTGTGCTATACAGTGTCATCTTGTTTATCTATTCTACAATTTTGAAATCCCAGTCTATCCCTT